AGGAAATGAAACTGCCACTCTCACCCAGGATGAACCTGTCCTTGAGTTGGCCAAATCACTGCATGCCCCCCAAGCTGAAAAGGCTCTTGAGCCTCAGAGCAGCTGGTATATCCCTGGGCCAACAGGGTGGCTACGCATCAATGCTCAGGACCTGAAAAACAGCCCTGTAGCACCCCTGGCCTACCCAATGGCCCTATGCCCCCAATAAGGGCCAGAGAAACCATCTTGCAGGCTGCCCCTGGCAGGCATGTCCCCAGCCTGGGCAAGCAGCCAAGAGCCCATGTCCAGGACCTGAGAAACAGCTCCCTGGGTTACCTCCAGTGGCCACACCCCTGAGCAGTCTTGCACCAGCACCCCAGACCTGTGAAATGGCCCTGTGGGCAGCCCCCAGCAGACACATCACCAGGCTAGCAAAGCAGCTGTGCACCCACATCTCAGGCCCAAGAAACAGCCCTACAGGCTGCCCCTGGCAGACAGGACCTCAGGCCAGCTTAACAGCTGTGTGTCCACAGCCCAGGCCTGAGAAACAGTCCCACAAGTTGCTCTGAGCAGGAATATCCCCAGGCCAGACAAGCTACTGCATGCCACCCATTTAAGAAACAACCCAGTGAGACCATCCCTGACAAAGTCACACCACCATCTCTACAAACTCTCTCAGTCTAGGCTACTGAGAAACTTGCAAATGCCACTAATATAGATTTAGCTGAAGAAACTATATGAAGACTAAACTGCTGGATCCACCTAGAACTAGGCCACCAGGTGCCTCACCTATCTGACATCCGAAGATCCATTCATACAAATATTTCCCTGGGAAAAATCTACTCCAAAAGATTGAAAGAGGTAACTTTTCTACCAGATACAAAGAAATCAATGTAGGGACACATGAATCAGGAAAGAACAAGGAAACTTCTTCAATAAAAACAATAATTCTCCAGTAAGAGACCCTGATTATAAGGAAATATATAAAATGTCAGAAAAAATTCAAAATAATAATCTTAAGGAAACTCAGTGAGATATAATAGAATACAGATAGACAATTAAATCATAAAAACAATTCATGATTTAAATGAGAAATTCAACAAATAAATAGATATAAAAAGGACCAAACCGATATCCTAGAGCTGAAGAATTCAATGACTGAAATAAAATGTACAATTGTGGGCCAGGTACAGTGGCTCACACCTATAATCTTGGCACTTTGGGAGGCCGAGGTGGGTGGATCACTTGAGATCAGGAGTTCCAGACCAGCCTGGCCAATAAGGCAAAACCCCTAGTTTTTGTATTTTAGTACTTACTAAAATACAAAAATCAACCGAGCATTGTGGCTCATGTCTGTAATTCCAGCTTCATGGAGGCTGAGGCACAAGAATCGCTTGAACCCAGGAGGTGGAGGTTGCAGTGAGCCGAGATAGCGCCACTACACTCCAGCCTGGGCAACAGAGCAAGACTCTGAAAGAAATGTCAATTGAGACTAGACCACACAAAAGAAATAATTTCTGAACTTGAAGGCAGGTCTATTGAAATAATACAGGCAAATGAAAAAGAACAGAATAAAGAAAGGCTACAGGACTTGTGGGACATTGTTAAACAAACAAATTATCACATGATGGGAGTTCCAGAAGAAGAGAAGCTCCTATAATCACAAGAAGCTGAATTCTTCAAACAACCTGAACAAACTTGAAAGAGATCCCTTTAAATGAGAATGCGCTAGCCAACATCTTTCTTTCAGTCTTGTGAAATCTTAAGCAGAGAATTCAATTACACTCTATCCAGACATCTGAACGACTGTGAGAAAATAGATGTTGTTTTAAACAACTAAGCTTGTAATAATTTGTTATGCGGCAATAAAAAGAGAATACACCTAATGACCTTAGTAACCAAGTGAAATTGCAGCATATTCACCAAATTCAATACCATGAAACAGCATAGATGAGTCTTAGAAACATAATAATGGGTGATGTAAGCAAAATCAAATAATGTATTATTTAAGCATCCTAGATATAAGATTTTTTTTACAAAATTAATTTTCAAAAGGCAAAAAACAAAATCAAAACTCATAGAAGTAGTTAACTTCTGGGAAATAGGCAGGATGAGATGGGGAGAAACTCATAAGCAGATACAAATCATCCATAATGTTTTAGGTTCTAGGTTACGTTAAGTACTGGTTGGTAGCATTATATTATTCTACATATAATTTACATTAGAATTATGGATTATCATTTTTGTATCAAATATTATATTTAAAAGATTATATAGGCTGGGTGCAGTGGCTCACGCCTATAATCCCAGCACTTTGGGAAGTCGAGGTGGGCAGATCATTTGAGGTCAGAAGTTCGAGACCAGCTTACCAACATAGTGAAATTCCATCTCTACTAAAAAAACAAAAAAATTAGCCAGGCATGGTGGTGCATGCCTGTAGTCCTAGCTACTCGAGAGGCTGAGGCAGGAGAATCTCTTGAACTCGGGAGGTGGAGGTTGCAGTGAGCCAAGATCATGCCACTACACTCCAGCCTGGGTGACAGGATGAGACTCTGTCTCAAAAAAAAAAAAAAGGAAAGAAAAGAAAAAAAAGGAAAAAACGATAATATAAAAAAACCTACAATGGCTTCCTATTTTTCTTAGAATAAAATTCAAATTATGGTCTATAAGGCTCTAAATAATCTGGTCTCCACCTATGTTATCTCAAGCCACTTTCTCCCTTGCTTTTTGCTCCACTTACAATGCCTGCCATCTTTTTCTAGGCATAACCTTTTCTTATCTTAGAGCTTTCGTACATATTCATACAGTAAGTCTCTACCCCTGGATCTTTGGTATGCTAACTCCTTTAATGTTACCTCAACTATCCTCTCTAATAAGTCTTATAAAAATCAGTCACCTCCTTTATTTTCTACCATCTTTTTGATGCCTTCATAGTTTGTTTCTTAATTTATAATTTATTTGTTTTGCTTTTTTATGTCTCCACTCATTATACTCTAAGAACTTTCCGAAAAGATACTGTGATCTTTAAATTGATCACTGTGATTCTGAACTAGGTTATTTCAGACCAATCATCTCACTGCACAACTATAAAAGCTAGACAAAGCATTGTCTAAATTGTGTTGAGAAGAATCAGTGAGTTATAAAGGCAGTAAGGATTTGCATACCCAAGATTCCAGAAAGAAAGGAAGTCCAGAGACGTGGAGCCCATCATTTAGTGCCATTTTTCCTTTAAGGCATTTATGCCTTGAGAAGGCCAAGAAGTTATAAAACTGAGGAGAGCTCTGAGATACAAATATAAGGCTGGGAGAACAAAAACCAGAGTCCAGAGCTTGTCAGGGTTGAGAAGTCCTGGGAAACACCAGTTGGCTTTTTTTTGGACCCTAAAAGGCTTTAAGAGAATGACTGTCTCTTCAAATGTTATGACCTAGTTGCCTCATGTGCCTCACACTAGTCCCCATCTTGACGTTGGGACTAAGAATAAACCACAAAGAGACTAGCCTCCCTCACAGGAACTAAAGCTTGGCTTCAAGTCATTTCAATTTCAATCTTAATTGAATTAAAGTGGTCTGGCATTGTTAGTGCTCCTAGCCTAGCTGGCTGCCAGATACAAATATATACCTTCCCTGTAGAAATATGTAATTAAAATTAAGATCCACAAATTAGTTCTATAAATTTTCAAATACAATGTCTAGCACTCAATCAAAACAACTAGGCATGTGAGAATATAAGAACTGACTGAAAACTAAGGAAAGAAAAAAAACAATAATTTAAATAGACTCACAGAAGATCCAGATAATAAATTTGGAATTTAAAATAGCATTGATGGCTAAAAACTGTAAGTATACATACCCCAAAATTCATATGTTGACATCCTAATCCTCTACGTGATGCTATTTGGAGGTAGGGACTTTGGGAGGTAATTAGGTCTTGAGGGTAGAGCCCTCAGGAATGGGATTGGAATTCTTATGATGAGACATGAGAGAGATGATCTCCCTCCACAATGTGAGGATATGGTAAACAGAAGGGCATTTGCAAACCAAAAAGAGGGCCCTGAGCAGGAATCAAATCAGCTGACATCTTGATCTTGGACATCGAGCCTCCAGAACTAATAAATAAAGGTCTGTTGTTTAAACCATCCAATCTATGGTATTTCTTACAGTAGCTTGAGCTGACCAAGACAATAATAAATATGTCCAAAGAATTAAAAGACATGGCTGTGGATTTTGACAAGTAAATAGAAACTATAAAAAGAAGGGAAAATCCATAGTGAGAAATAAAATAACTAAAATTAAGAATTCAGTTGATTTAATGGCAGAATAAAAACAAGAAAGAACCTATAAACTAGAATATAAGTCAAAAGAAAATAACTAGACTGAAGCATAGCAAAAGAAAAAAGGATGAGAAATAAAATAAAAAAAAAAGCATGAGCCCTATGAAATGCATTGGGGAATGAGGAGACAGTAAGTATTGTGCTTTATTTCTCATAAATGAGTTTTCACCTCTGCTAAGCACAATGTAATCCCAGCACTTTGGGAGGCTGAGACTGGAGGATCACTTGAGGCCAGGAGTTAGAGAGTAGCCTGGTCAACACAGCAAGACCTCATCTCAAAAAAGAAAAAAAAAACAAGCCAGGTGTGGTGGCGTGTGATGTGTCTGTAGTCCCTGCTCCTTGGGAGGCTGAGGCAGGATGATTGTTTGAGCCCAGAAGTTTGGGGCTGCTGTGAGCATAATCATGCCACTGCACTCCAATCTGGCCCAATCTGGGTGACAGAGTGAGGCACTGCTTCAAAAAATAGAGCTTTCACCTCTTTTTTTGGCTGACTTTTTCAAACAAGATACCTAAATTTGACAAGTAAAAATCAGAAATAATCTCATGAAACACCACCACCATAATGAAAGTTTCTGGGCCTATAGCAACCCTATGTCTCAAAAGAATAAATTAATATATTATACAAATAACACATAAGATGAATATTTTGAGCTCTTTTGAACTTTTTTTTCTTTTCTTTTTTTGTTTTTACCTTTCCCGGGGTGGTTGTTGAAGTTTTTCAAGTCGCACTACAGATGGCTGGTCGGAGGGTTGCCCAGCTGGAGTCCCAATAGTAACATTCAGATCTGGGGATAAGAATGCTGGATATTCTATTGCCTGTGGCTTAATAACATGTCTGTAAAATAATAAGAAAGTGAAATATTGAAATTATACAAAAGTCCACTTCCAAAATCAGTGGCAGCTATCACTTTTGAACCCTTCTCTCTTACATTTTCAGCTCACCTGTCCACTTTGGGCCATCGAAGGCTAGAGCTAGGAAAAAAGTCAAGAGCCAGAAATCCAGAGATAAGTGCTCTCTTGATTATCCTTACTACTAAACTCAGATCATAGGCAGCAGAGATGGAAAGGACAGTAGGGCCTGAAGTTCTAATGAGAAGTACAAAGCCCAGATCTCTCTCTCAATCTTTAGACCCAAATCTCTATCTCTTAAATATTTTATCTTTAAAATCTATTAATTTTTTGGAATGTATTGTGTGCTAGGTGCAATGTTCATATAGCTATATATATTATTTCATTCGCTTTTCACAGCAAGCCCATCAGATAAGAATTATTAGATCCTATTATATATATAAGAAAGCTAGATTCAAGAGATTAAACAACTCCTCCCAAGGTCTTACAGCTGGTAAGTGGCAAAGCTAACATTTAAACACAGGCTCTTGAAATAAAGTTCAGATTCTTAAACACTGTTCTATCCTGTGCATAGTGGTAATCACCTTAAACTCAACATGTCAAAATAGAACTCGCCATTTTCCCCTTCTTCAGCTATGCCCTTTTCTAAGTGTCCCCTGGTTCAGGAAATAACAGCACCAAATATATACCCAGTGGTCCCTAAATGTGAACATCTTTCTTCCTCCTTTCCCCTTCTGTCATCTATCTCCAATCAATCACTTCCTAATTACAGGAGATGTAACTAAACATTCTAAATATTTCACAAATTAATTTGTTCGTCTGTTCCATTATATTAGTCAGGGCTGTCCATAAAAATTGAACCAATAGGATGTATACATACAGAAAAATATTTATGATAAGCAACTGGCTCATATGATTATGGAGGCTGATAAGTCCTAAGATCTGCAGTGTTAATCAGCAAGCTGGAGACCCAGGGGAGGCAAAGGTATAATTTTTGACTGAGTTCAAAGGCCTTAGAATCAGGAGAGCCAATAGTGCAGTTCCAGTCCAAAGGCTGGTAGGCTGGAGATCCAGAAGAGCTGATGTTTCAGTTTGAGTACAAAGGCAGGGAAAAGTTAATGTCCCAGTTCAAAGATAGGCAGCAGGAATTCTCTCTTACCCCAAAGTGAATTAATTTTTTGTTTCTTTCAACTTATTGAATGAGGCCCACCCACACTAGGGAGAGCAATCTGTTTTACTCAGTCCGCCAGTTTAAAGTTCAATCTCATCAAAAACACTCTGCTCTCAGAATGATTTTTGACCAACAGCTGGGTACTTTATGGCCACCACTAACAAGTTACTAGATCTGTTGCATAATATGATACAAATGGCAGAGAAGCTTGCATGGCAGCCTGGACCTGTTGCAGAACCTTCTCTTGTTCTGGGCCCCACTCAAAACTAGCAGCTTTTTGAGTCATCCAGTAAATGGGCCAGAATAACATACCCAAAGGAGGAACAGATTATCTCCAAAATCCAAAAAGGCCTATCTGTGGTTATTTCTCCAGGTGTTGTATCTCTTTTTTGTTGCAAGAGAAACCAGATGCAACAATTCATCCTTCACTGTATACAGGATATCACCACGCATACCACTGGACCCCCAGAAATTTCACTGAGGTAGAAGGCCCTTGAATTTTTGTCACATTTATTTCCCACTCTCTGAAACAAATATGTCTTAGCAATAAGTCTAGAGTAGTTGCTACTTCTTGCTCACTAGGTCCAATCAGCATGTCATCAATAAAACAAACCAGTCTGCCATCTCATAGAAGAAAAAGGCAGTCAAGATCCCTGGGAACTAAATTGTAATGTAGGGCTAGAGAGCTGATACACCCCTAAGTTAGGACAGTGAAGGGGTATTGCTCGCCTTGCCAGCTGAAAGCAAACTGCTTCTGATGATCTTTATTAATAGGTATGGAGAAATAAGCATTTGCCAGATCTGTAGCTGCATACCAGGCACCAGGGGATATGTTAATTTGCCCAAACAATGAAACCACATCTGGTATAGCAGCTGCAATTGAAGTTGTCACTTGGCTAAGCTCACAAGAATCCACTGTGATTCTCTAATATCCATCTGTCTTCTTCACAGGCCAATATAGGATTTAAATGGAGATGTGGTGGGAATCACCACTCCTGCGTTTTTCAGGTCCTTGATGGTGGCACTAATCTCTGTAATTCCTCCATTCAGTATTGCTTTTCATTTACTACTTTCATAGATGGAGGGAATTCTAGTGGCTTCTTCTTGGCCTTTCACAACATAATAGCCTTCATTCCACACATCAGGAAATCAATTTGGGGATTCTGCCAGCTACTTAGTATATCTATTCCAGTTATGCATTCTAGAACCAGGGAAATAACCACTGGATATGTTCAGGGACCCACAGAGCCAACTGTGAGATGGACCTTAACCAAAAGTCTATTGATCACTTGAGCTCCATAAGTCCCTACCCTGACGGACGGACCACCGTTACTTTCAGAGTCTTCTGGAACTCGTGTTAGTTCAGAGACAGTGTCTAGTAGTTCCCAAAAGCCCTGATTGTTCCCTTCTCCCCAGTGCACAATTACCATGGTAAAAGGCCATAGGTCCCTTTGGGGAAGGCTGGGAGAAATACTAGCAATATAAAGTTTTGGAAGTATACTAGGGACCTTTCTTAAGGTGACCCAACCTCCCTTTCATTAAATGCGTTCTGGGTCTGTAAAGTAGCTCAAGTCTGAGAATTGATTGAGAACCATGACTCTGTTTTTATGATTCAGGTTAGGCTTTTGCTCCCTCGACCTAAAACTTTTCTGCTTAACTTTATACAGATGAGGTTAGAATTTAGTAGGTTTCTTATCTATTCATGTCTAGGAACACATGATCAGATAGCCAACACCATAGGTCTGCACTAGAAAGATTATTCTGATTGCTGCTTTGATTCTACTATCCATTGTGGTAACCACGCCCACCTTGCCTTTGGCAGTTGAGTGTCTTCACTTGGTTCCTGCCATCCTGGGATCCAATTACTCCCATTGCATTTAAGTTTCCCAATTCAGTGACTATAGTTGCCACTGTGAAGTCTGGCCCACAGGGAAGAGCAATCACAGTGCTCTTCAAGGATCCCAGAGTACCCTTCATGAATTCATTTCTCATAGTCAGGGCAAAAATTTGTATCTTCTGGACCCTCCCAGTGTGGGTGAGTTGATCTTACATGGCAAGTCCATTCTAACTTAATTTCTCTGAGCCTCTAAAACCCTTCCTCTAGCTAATTCACTGTGGGCCGTCTTTTGATTCCTTTTTCTGTCATTCAACTAAACAAGCTACGAGAGCCCTTTCTAACTCCCCAACCTACAACATTAAATGTGGAAATATCTGCTTAGGCCAGGTGCAATAGCTCACACCTGCAATCCCAGCACTGTCAGAGGCTGAAGGGGGTGGATTGCTTGAGCACAGGTATTCCAGACCAGCCTGGGCAACATGGCAAAACCCTGTCTCTATAAAAATACAAAAATTAGCCAAATGTGATAACACATTCCTGTATTTCCAGCTACTTGGGAGGCTGAGAGGGAGGAGCGGTTGAGCCTCAAGAGGTTGAGGCTGCAGTGAGCCGTGATCGTGCCAGTGTGCTCCAGCCTGGGCAACAGAACAAGACCCTGTCTCCAAAAAAATAAATAAATAAAAATAATTGGTTTAGTGAATCCATATCAATAAACTCAGCCTGATGCAACTTTATTTTCCTTCCACCATTATCCCATGCCCTTAAAATCCACTTCTACATATATTCTCCAGAATTCTGTCTGTATAAATTAAAAAACTCAAACAGTTCTTTTGGACTATATATGGAGTATATTCCTGAGGATCCAAAAGAGTAAAATTTGCTCACATTTGAGAAGCATAAACCTACAATGATGATGGTGGTAATGAGAAATATGTATTAATTTTGTAAGTAGGTAACAACTAATTAGGCATTTTACTATTTACTACCATGTTCTAAGTACTTTACATGTAACTTATTTAATCATCATAGTAATTCAATTGAGTAGTTTTAATTTTTATCCCATCCAACAAATGAAGCATAAAGAGCCTGAGCAACTTGCCCAGAGTCATGTAGGAGGACAGTCCATGCAGTCTGGCTCTAGGGTCTGAACTCTCAATCACTATATCTTGCCCCTGCCTACTCCTCTAGCTCATACCCCATTGCTCTCCTCCTTGTTCCTAATCTCTTAGCCACTCTCAACTAAAGACAGTTCTCCAACACGATAGAACCTCTTATAGCTTCCTGCTTTTACTTATGTGGCCTCTCAAGAGAATGTGTCCCTTCACTCCTCCAAAATCAGCGAGATGCTCTACTACCAGTTTTACAAGTCTCACTCCAAGCACTTTCTCTTGTGGAGCCTTACTTGATAACTCTTTCCTCCCCAACTTCCCTGACAAGAACTAGAAGCTTCTTGGCTGTCCCACAGTTGTTTATGTTTGGCTCTTGAAGGGCTTTTATCCCATTTGCATCATCACAGTAATAATTTTTTATGTTACTTTACATTAAACCATGAGCTCCTCAAGGGCAAGGAGAAGACCTCACAGGTCTTCGTATTTGCCATGACTTGGGGATATAGCAGACATTCAATAAATGCTTATTTAATCAATGTATGAAGAAGAAAAATAAATAAACATAAGAAAAAAATTAGCTTTACTATTTCAACAAATTGTCAATATGAAATAAAGTATTTTAATGATAATATCCAGTGTTGGTTAAACAATAGGAAAATAAGCACTTCAGAACACAATTTCCCATTCAATACCTAATTCCCTCAATCCCATTTCAGCTTTTTCCCATTTCTTCTTCTTGGATAACACTATAGATTAAATCTTTTTCTTAGGTGCTCATTTTTCTATAATCTATTTTTATTGGTGAAATTTCAAGATTGATTAGCATACTATATTTTAAGTTACTTTTGGTTTGCTAATGACTTTATTTTTTACCATAGACTTTTTATGGATGATTTTGTAGCAATAATTGAAGTGGTGTGGTGGTAAGGGTAACATTACTATACTGCAGAGCACAGAACTGATAACTATTAGACACTCCGATATTAAGTCTCTCACCTTTTCCCAAAAGGCGTATCTCCTTGGCCTGCTTTCCTTATTAAGCTATTCCTCCCTTTTCTCCTTCAGGCATGAACTTGGCCTCTTCTTTTATCTCCACACGTCCTCAACACCTATCCAGGGCCATGCCCAGAAATTTAAAATTTCTCCCTCTTATTAAGCAAAATAATTCATGACTCTCTTTACCTCGGAGTCTAGCCCAACCTGGCCATGTCCTGGGGACTCCTTAAAATAACCAAAATGCTCCACTAAATGGATTAAAATTGTTTTAAATGCCACACTACCTGACCATATTAATGAGACTTAAAATACTTACGTCACGGGGTCTGTTCTTTCTGGAGGTGGTGCAATATTCATAAACATGGATGGTTCAATAATTTTCTGAAGAGGTTTTAACTGAAAAACATGTAAGTGTATGTTAACACTGTTTAGTTACAATTAAAACTCATTGACTGTAATGCCATACCATATTAGTACCATAATGCTATGAATACCCCAGGACTATGAAACAGACCTTAAATGAGACATGTAAGGAAAAAGGAATTAAGAGAGGAAAAAAAACAAACTAACATTTATTGGGTACTAAATATTTGCCAAGCATTTTATTATACCTTTAATCCTATTTAACCATCTCAATAAACCTATACCATAAGTAACTATGCATATTCTACCGAGGAGACTGAAGATCAGTAATTTGCTCAAGGCTACACAATAGGCAAGAGTCAGGACTTGAAGGTAGCTTTATCTGTCCCCAAGGTAGTGCTCTGTTTACAGTATCACAGTAGGTAAGTATGGGACCATTATCGCTGAAAAGCTCATAAAGTCAAGTTTTTATTTTGGACTTTTCTTATATATTCCATTCTTTTCCATACAATTCCTTTGTTCCTTGTTTTTAGTAGATTCCACCGACATAAAATAATACTTGCCCAATTTTATCTGAGAAGGATACCTCTCCTTAAAAATGGGCTGTTATTATATATGATATTTCTGTTCAGACACAAAGCCTACCTCTGAAGTTGGTGTTCACATGCTATAACTGTCACAAAAAGGAGTAAACAACTAAGGGTCCCTATAAGGCCTAATTATGATAAGAATTTTTTTAAATAGCAGAAGAAAAAGTAAAAAATCAAAGCAGAGAACGGAAAAAAAAAAAAGCTTGTTCCTTGCAGCCTTCATCTGTGTATTACTTCTGATACAAAATGTATTAAACATCATTATAATATAATATAGGCAAAATTTTAAAGCATATTACAGAGATTTCTCAGTTAACAGAGTGGTAGACTTGTTTAATAAGACTGATGTCTTCACTCTCAATTCCTAATTTAAAAACACCAAAAACTTAAATAAAAAAGGAAAAACTGAAAGTGATAAATGACATGTAAATAAAGGTCATTTCCCCTATACAACAATGTCGTACTAATTCCCCTATTAGTACAACAGCAGTACTAACAGGACTGCATTTTTGAATACCACAAAATTGATGACACCCGGGAATATTAAGAATTCTTTCAATATTTGATGAGAGTATATATTGGTACTTTTCTAGAACAATTCATTGAAAAGGTCATTGTTTTGGACAAGAATTTCCCTTCTAGGAATCTGGCTTAAGGATATAATTAAAGAAAAGGACATAGGTTAGTACATAAAAGTATCTGTGGCAATGTGGACACATTGTAGTGAATTTAAAGGAGCAAGTCAAAACTAGGAAGATATCTTCTTTGGGTTTATTACTCTCTTGATGAATCAGGAGAGTTAAAATAACACCAGATGTTGAAAAACTGTGGAGGAAAGGAGCATATGAGTATTATCTGAACAACATCAGTGACTCCATTTGTTTTTTCAGAGAAAAGATCTCACTACATTTCCAGGCTGACTCAAGTGACCTTCCCACTTCAGCCTCCAGAGTATCTAGGATTACAGGTATGAGATACCAGGTCAGGCAATAACTCAATTTTTAATAACTATATTTAGATGCAGAAATCCACACTGATTTCTTGAATACCTGTATTTTAAATTACATCAATATGTATGTATACACACAAATAAAAGCAAGTTTTATTTTATTTTTTTGAGACAGAGTCTCACTCTATCACCCAGGCTGGAGTGCTGTAGTGCAATCTTGGTTCACTGCAACTCCCGCCTCGCAGGTTCAAGTGATTCTCCTGCCTCAGCCTCCCGAGTAGCTGGAATTACAGGAACCTGCTACCATGCCTGGCTAATTTTTGTATTTTTGGTAGAGGTAGGGTTTCACCATTTGGCCAGGATGGTCTCAAACTCCTGACCTCAGGTAACCCACCCACCTTGGCCTCCCAAAGTGCTGAGATTACGGGCCTGAGACACCATGCCCAGCCTAAAATCCAGTTTTATAATAAGACATTTTGAATAAAATATCATTGCTTTAAAATGCATAAACAAATCATAGTAAAGTCTCAACTTTCTTTAGGCTGATGAAAAGTCCACATACCTCAAGGATGGGAGGTAAAGAAGCATCTTTTAAAAACATTTATTTTAAAGAATTGATCAAACTGAAATAGGATGATCTGACTGAAGAGTTACAACAGAATAATCTTTTAAAAGAGGGGAACTAACCTGATGTGAAAATCCATAACCAAAGTTTCCATAGGAGAACATAAATTCCACCTCCAGCCTGCAGACAAACTAAACATGTGGTAAATTTTATTGTTTGATCAGGATGATATTTTAATAGAGAAGTGACAAAATGAGATATTTTTACTTTATAAATCTGCAGGTTAGAAAAGCCAAAGTATGAATCTCTTGACTTTTAAAAAAGCATTTACCCAAGAAACTCCTACAGAAGAACCTACTGAGCTCCTGAAATGTTAAAGCCTTTTATGTTAAAGTTAAATAGCATTATACAATTAAAATATGGAAAATATCAACTTCTAATTGCTAATAGGATTACACTGAGATGCTCACATATATATGTAGATTCATACACATATATGTATATTTTTAATTATTTACTCACACTCCTCTCACCTCCAGTCCCATTTTCAGATAAAATTTTGATTTCGACAAATGATTTCACTTCTCTGAACCCCAGATTGCGTATATGTGAAATAAAGGAGGGCACAAGAGGTAATAACGTCAAGTTCCTGGCCCTTGTTTTGGCCAATGGCAGCAAAAGTCTCTCTGAATAGAAAGATCAATTAATCCAACTACTAATTTTAAGCACTTAAAAAGAAATTAAAGTAAGAACTATAAAAAACTCTTTAGAAACTCCCCAGAGAGAAAAATAATACTTCCTCAATTTAGTAAGTGAGGATCCTGAGGCTGTGCAGCTAAAGCAGCAGCCAGAGGCATTCTACTCTCTCACCCAATGATTGCTAATTTTCTTCATCACCATTTAGCAAAAAAGAAATAAATAAAATAAGGAAAGGAGAATGAGGAAGAAGAAGAGGAGGAGATTCTTGTTAGTAAATATTGACTTTCTATTTAATACATTTCTACTGTTTCAAACAGTGACTGGTACAGTAACTAAAAAAATAAAAACATGTAGGTTACAAATAATATCAGAGGAAAGTTACATGAAATGTTAAGAAAATATTACATGCACATAAAACTTAGGAAGTTTCAGTAAAGTCCTTACTGTGTTTCTATGCAACATTTGAACGTCTTCAATGAAGCACCCTTTCTAGAAAAAAGAAATAATAAAGTTTTAAAATATAGAATTACTCACATATTTCCCTGTATATTATCTAAACCAAGGGTCCCCAGCCCCTAGGCCATGGGCTGGTACAGATCCATGGCCTCCACGTCCTGTTAGGAACTAGGCTGCACAGCAGGAAATGAGTGGTGGGCAGGTGAGCAAATCTTCATCTGTATTTACAGCCACTTCCCATCACTCATATTACACCTGAGCTCCGCCTCCTGCCAGATCAGTGGGGGCTTTAGATTCTCATAGAAGCATGAACCCTATTGTGACCTGTTCACTTGAGGGATCTAGGTTGTGCTCCTTATGAGAATCTAATGCCTGATCATCTGTCACTGCACCCCATCACCCCCAAATGGGACTACCTAGTTGCAGGAAACCAAGCTCAGGGCTCCCACTGATTCCATATTATGGTGACTTGTATAATTATTTTGTTATATATTACAATGTAATAATATTAGAAATAAAGTGCACAATAAATGTAATGCGCTTGAATCATCCTGACCCCCCTCCCCACCCAGGTCCATGGAAAAACTGTCTTCCACGAAACAAGTCCCTGGTGCCAAAAAGGTTGGGGACTGCTGATCTAAACATATTATCGTTTTTTAAAAATCAAGTAATAACTTTTCAAATCCACATATGAACCTAATAGCCAAAATACAAATATAAGGAATGCTCAAAACAAGAAAATAAAAATTCCAAGTTTAAGTAACAGAAATAAATATATTTACATTATGTTGTAGACAAAAATGTTCCTGCTAAGTTACAGTTCCCCTTTACAATCACTCGTGAGAAGAACCTGGCATCTGTCACCGAAGGTTCTGCAACCTCAGACTCCTCTGTGCAAGACTGATAGACTGCCCAGCCCAGCCCAGGACTCCTTTTGTCTTCTTTGCTCCCCAAAGACCAGTTCGCTAACCTTTTCTCCTATTACTTTTTCCTCTTGATGTTAAATGTTACTTCGTTGTGGATTGTTTAACCTATAACATTTACATATTAAGTGTACTATTATGCATGTTTGCAATATTGACTGACTTGCAGAATGGCTTGAGCCTGTGTGCCCACAACTCTAACTGCTGAGTGAACGGGAGGTACTAAGGAGAGTTGGCTTCTTGGGAACTCCATGTAGCTTGTGGCTTTCGTGATTGAAATAGCATCAGTAAAAACCTGACATTGTGGAAAGACACAAACATGCATGGACCTGGTTACCTCCAATCTTGTACCCTCATGAGAGAGGGGTTACTTAAACATAATTTTATATGATAAGCTGACTACCGACCGGACTGAGTACCTCTCTCATCTCTCAGGATGGCTGCATCTTCTAAACCAGGTTAACCTTTGGTACCCTTGCTTAATATCTACAGTCATCCCTGCTGTTATGAGTCAGTCCACAATTTTTCAGAAACTTTTTGAGTGCCAAAATGACATCAGAAGTAAAAAATTCCATACCTGGCCTATGTGACAAGTCACAACCAATACACAGTGAAGACTTTCTTTCATGCGCAACATTATTTAAAATATTGTATAAATTTACCACCAGCCTATGTGTATAAGATGTATATGAAACATAAATGAACTTCATGTTTAGACTTGGGTCCCATCCCCAAGCTATCTCATGTATATTTGAATATTCCAAAATCAAAAAAAAAAATTAGAAGTCCAAAATGCCTCTGGTCCCAAGCTTTTTCAGATAAGTAATATTCAACCTGTACAGACATCATGGAAAATACTACGGATATTCTTCAAAAATTTAAAAATATCATTACTATATGATCCAGCAATCCCACTTCTGAGTATACATTTAAAGAGATTGAAATTGGTATGTCAAAGAAAGATCTGCACTCATTTCAGCATGATTCACAATAGCCAAGATATGGAAGCAACCTAGTGTTCATCACCAAATGAACAGATGAATATGGGGTGTATATACATACATGCAATGGAATACTATGCAGTTTAAAATAAAAGGAAATTTTGTCATTCGTGACATGGATGAAACTGGACAATTTTATGCTACATTAGCCAGGCACAGAAAGACAAACACTGTATGATTCTACTTATCAGTGGAATCTAAAAAAGTTAGTTTCATAGAAACAGTAGAAAAGTGGTTACCAGAGGCTGGAGAGTAGAGGTAGGAATGGAGAAAGAGAAGATGTGTCCAAAGTCTCAATTGGACTGGAGAAGCAGGTTCTAGTAATCTACTGCACTGCCTGGTGACTACATTAATAATAATGTATTGTATATTTCAAAATTGCTGAATAAAAGATTTTTATCATCCTTAGTATAAAAAAAGATAAGTTGGTGAGGTGATGAAAATATTAATTGGCTTATTTGAATTTTTTTTAGTGTATACATAGATCAAAACATCACACTGTACCCCATAAATATATACAGTACTTGTCAATTAAATATAAGTAAATAATCAGCTAAAAATTAATTTATGGGCAAACAGAGGAATACTCCCATATGGAATAGTATACAGCAGCAAAAAATTAACACTAAGTGTATTAATCTTAGAAATATACCATATTTAGAAATATAAAATGATAATATTTTTATAATCATACATAAGTAGTAAAGCTATGAAATAATAAGGGAATAATAAATACAAAGTTTCAGATAATCATTATTTTTTCCTGGGGGAGAGGGAGGAGACAGAAGATGGCATCAAGCAGCAACATAAAGACTTCAACTCTATTTTTATTATACTGCAACAAAGAAAATGCAAAAGATTTGCATTATAAAAGTGCTTTAGACCCCATCCCTATGCTGTATGCTATGGCTGTCATACGCATGACCTCTCCAAACATTATAAACCACACAGATAAGGTTATAATTTTTACTTTAGTCACACAAATTTTAAAGAAAGTAATAAGAAAACAATGGTCTTTCCTCTAGCACCTCCATTCTGCTGTTGAGCCCATTCAGTAAATGTTTAATTTCGAATATTTTACTTTTCAGTTCCAGAATATGCATGTGGGTCTTTTTATATTTTCTATTTTTCTGTCTTTGTTTATAAGAAAGAATTGGAAAGAAACTCGGAACACTGAAACGTTGTAAGTGTGGAATGATGGGTGATTTTTTAATTTAAAAACTATACCTTTGTATTTTAAAATATTACGATATTATTAATGATCTTATAAAAATAACTATTGACAAGTTTGCATATATGCTTCTAGTCCAAGCACCTATATTTCTAAAGTTTTCTTCAACAAAAAGTAACTAATAAGTAATGTCACATTTTTTGATGCCTAAATTGCCATACAGTCAAAGGAACTTTAGTCATTTCTAAAGATCCTCTCCCAAAATATCTGAGAATTTCTGGTTGCTTACACTTATTCATTATTCAATATGTTTATCTCCTCCTTCATCTCTTTCTGTGTCTTAGAAATTATCTGATTTTCCCCAAGTTCTTATTATGAAAATTTTCAAACACACAGACCACTCAAAAGCCTCCAATTAGTACCCTTCCTAGAAGATTAAACAAATTCAAATATTTGTTTAACAACTGTTAACATTGTTTAACAGTAGGCCATTTTTTGAAATACCTGTGTGTGTATAGATATATGTTTGCTGATCTACTTAGAAGTTGCAATCATCATTACTCTTTACTCTCAATGTTTAAACTTTACCTTGGATACTGTAAAAATAAGAATATTTATAAATACATATAGGTCCACAATATCAGTATCACACTCAAGAAAACAATTCTAGATTTTTTCCTAATATTCAGTAAATATTAAATTTTCCTAATTGTCCCAAGAATGTCTTCTATTTATGTTTGTGTTTTATTTTTTGGGACAGGATCTCACTGTGTTACCCAGGCTGGAGTGCAGTGGTACAATCATGGCTCAGTGGAGCCTCAGCCTCACTGGGCTGAGGTGATTTTCCTGCCTCAGTGCCCCAAGCAGCTGGGACTACAAGCAGGCGTCACCATGCCCAGCTAATTTTTTGTGGGTGTTTTTTATTATTTGGTTTTTTTTGTTTTTGTTTTTTGTTTTAAGAGAAGTGGTTTCAAATTTTAGATAAGACTTTCCGCAAGATAGCCGTTTAGGAAGAGCTCAGGATTGCAGCTCCCAGTGAAAGCGCAGAGGGTGAGTGGACGCCGCGTTTTTATTGCCCACAGACTAGGAAATTCCCGGGCAGAGGAGCTCCACGGTCGCCAGTGCGGCTGTTTCGGCCAGCGCCGCTGCTTTGCCCCGTGCGGCTGCTTTGCCCCGGGCGGCTGCTTTGTCGGCGCCCCGGAGCCGCGGTTCTCCGTACAAAATACACCGGTCCGGGGGCCCTTTAGGCTGGCGATTGGAGCCACGGGAAGTCGCCCATACGCCGGTTCAAAAACGGGACTGAGCAGAGAACCAGGACAGTAGATTCCAGGGCAAAAAAAAAAAAAAAAAAAAAAAACGCC